ATGTTCTTTCAAGCTGCTAAACATGTGGTATTCTGTGATGCAGCATAGAAAACTAGCATAGGTGAGAGAGAGAGATTGATTATATCCTGTGAAAGCAAGAATTAGGAGTCAGAGGTTGTCCTGAGAACCTAGGACTTCGGAATTTGGAGCCATAGTGGTTATCTTAGTTTGAATCCCAGAGGCAGACCCTGAGGCAAGAAGTCACTCAGTTTATTCAAAGGTGAGCCCAGTAAAACCAGGTAGTATATTGGGAAAATGAGACTTGGAAGTGAAGGAAGCCAATAAATAAAGACTGCATATCAATCAAATTACTATCCTGAGCAGCTGCAACTTAATCCTTTTAGGGCACTCAGTGAGACAGTGCAGAATGTGCTTCAGAGTTATCCCATCCAAGGGGCCAGGGAGCTGGGATATTAGTCCCCATCGGGTCTCAGGTATAGCTGAGGGATGCTCCTGGCAGGTGAGGCCAGGCTAATTCCTCAGGCTGCTGGCTGACTCTCACACAGAGGCATCTTGTCCAACTTTCCCTCCTCTAACTTCTCTCAGTGTGTGCATTCGTGTGGATGTGTGCAAGCCCCTCCTCACTTTACTCTGTCAGGCACTTGATATCTATTTATTTATTTAATTCTCCCAATACTCCTTGTAGGTAGAGATTATATAACCCCACTTTACAAAGAGGGAAACCTAAAATTTCAGGAATTTAGCCACTTGCAAAGGTCCTATAGATATCACGTGGCAGAACTTGGACTAGGAATCCTGCTGATCACCAGCAGAGCTTCGCCTCCCCGACTCTCGGTGGGAAGCCGCCCTCCTGAGTGTGTGAGTCTCAGGCCTGGCCTAACCTTTCACCCCCGGCATCTACTCTCCGACTAAGCCCCATGCTGGCGGGTGGCCTCTCTGCCCACTCCTCGTGCCCCTACTGCTGCTGAGATTCTCTTTGATTCTTTGTTCCATAAACCTGTATGTGACTGGTGCCAGTGTCGTCCCTGCCATAAGTTCAGTTTGCCAGGATGGAGAGAGAGGAAGGTCCCAGGAGGCCAATGTCAGCCAGAGAGTTTGCAGAGCTGTGGCATTGCCTGGGAAACAAGCAGTGTGTGAGGCTTTGTGCTGAGAGGGGGCAGGGCCTTGCTGCTCCAGCAGCCACCAAACAAGAGAGATTAGCTAGCTCTCTTTGGAACAAAACAACTTTTTGTGGGCCTGCACAGTGAGGAATGGCCCTCCCCGAGAGCATTTTTTCTTTCCTTTTGCTTTTCAAAGTTCTCCTAGGTAGCCCTACTCTTGCTCGCTGCTGAGAAACATCAAATAGAAAGCAGAGATCAAGTCAAAGGTCCTCCTGCCTTTCCATAGCCTCATCCTGAACACTGGTCTGGCTGCCTGCAGATGTCTGTAAGTGTGAGGAGTCTCTCAGAGGACGAGCGTTCTGCAGAGATAGTGTGTCTGTGAAGGTATGGGTTTGTTGGGAGAAACACATGGTCAGCATGGTGTGCAGTCCTCGGTGCATTTCTGTGAGGTAAAGGAGGTGCTCCCACTTCCATACTGGGAAACTGGATAACACTAAGGCCTTTTATGCTGAGAGTAAATATTTGATTTCTGAATAGAATTCCTGCCCCCTCAGAAACTGAGCGGAACTCAGGCTTGTGCCCATGGTTGCTGAACGTGCCCTATTCAGCAGCTCTCCAGAGGAACAAAGAAGACACATTAACTGGCTTGAAAGTGTTGGAGAGATCCAGTTTGCTGCCCTATTTAAGATGAAGCTAGGACATTCTAGAGAACATCTCTGGAGTTCTGTTCTTCTAAAGCTTCAGTGATCAAATAAAAACAGGTAGAAAAATCGTAGAGGAGTCACGCATCATCCCTAACTCGTGAAAGGTTTCATTGTTTCCCTTCTCCTGGATCCTCAGATGGAGTCCTCCCACCAACCATGTCCCGGAAGGATTTACTTCCATTTTCCCTCTCTTGCCCTCCGCCCAAAGAGGGAGGGGCAGAAATGGAAATCAGCTAGCCTGCTGTGTGAAGAGCACGCCATGTTCCTGAGATTAGTAATGTTGCCAGTGGAAATGGGGTCCTTTTGCGGAGTTGCAAGGAAAGCATTCCCGGGACCTGTGCCTGGGAGGATGAGATGTGGTGGTAAGATTTACTGGGGTTGAAATGAAAGACTGCCCTCACTTTCCCAATGTCTCATCTTCATCTGTCTCACTGTGGAAGAAGTCCAGCCTTGTCTTCATCAAGCACAGAAGAAGGGCTAGGGTCCAGAAGCTCTGTGCCATTGGTTCAGTCCCTGCCAAAGTCTGGTCCAGTTCAGCCTCTGTCCGAATCCAGCTTAGTCTCTGTTCCCCTCTGCACTCCAGCCAGTGCTGCATTGTTGTACCCAGGTTTGCCCTTGGAGTTGCATTTGGAACCTGCCCGTGGGCTTGCACAACTACTAGGTTTGTGTGGCTGCTACAGAGAGAGAACATATGAATGAATGGGCGAGAGCATCTTTGAACACATGTTACTAAGAGAAAGGTCTTTGTTAAGATATGATTATGTTAACTCAGGGTTTCAAAGTGACCAATCTATTTCCCAATCCTTTGAGGGCTTGTGCTGGGTCCTCTCCCTAACCCATCCATTTCCTAGATCTTCCAGGGTTCTGTGCCTCTTATTCAACTTGATCTTTCCCAGGCTAGAGATGTCCCCATTATGGTTGCCATCTTGGCTCCTAATGGACGTGCCTTATAGTAAAAGGACCTCCCCCTGCACTGTCTTGGCCTCTACTGGGCCTGATCCCAGCAAAGGAATTTCCCCTGCTCCTCCCCGCAATAATCCGGCTACTGGGACGGGTGAAATTAAGTCCCTCTGGTAAAGGATGCAGCGGTCCCCAGGGGAACCTTTGAATGCTGTGACTTCCTAGTGAATCAGGCCTATTGTCTGATTCAGCTCCCTAGTTTATGAGGCTTAATGTCTGATTCCATTTGCTTCCTTCCTGTATTAATACTAACTTGCTACCAGCACTAACAGTAAGAGGAGTGGGGTGTGGGGAAGGGGAATGGTGGCTTATTCTAAAGTAACAGAAGACACAATCCCTGTCTATGTGCTTAAATATAGTTGGGAAAGCAGCATCTAAGTCTGTAATTGGTAAAACATTTGCATCACCCTTTACAAATTCTTTCTAAATACTATTTTATCTATTCTTCTAACAACTCTGTGTGTAGGATTTTTTAAAGGAGAAATTGGAGCTCAGAGAGGTTGAGTGGCCTGCTCAAGGTCATGAAGTTTGTAAGTCCACATAGTTCAGACCCAGCCTGTGCTTCCTTGTCTAGCATTCTATACTATACTCCTGAAAGAAGTTGCCTTCAGTCAGAAGTAAAAGTCAGTATAAAAGGGGAAGCTCTGAGACAAGATGTGGAGGATAAGGTGGGCAAAAAGACCATAAAAACCAAAGGTTAATTAGCAAGAGAAAAATTGGGTTCCCAGTGGTGAGTCCAGGGACCCTAAGAAGATAGATCATCATACACAGGATTCAACATAGAGAGAAACAGCTTTCTTAAAAGGCCTCAACTAAGTCGCTAGGGGAGAAAGCCTTGAAGACAAGCCAACATTTTCACTCCCGGTGGTTCTCACAGGGTCCAGCTTGGTGTGGTTTACAGATCCTTGCAGAGGCAGCCCTCCAGGAGTCTGCATCAGGTTTGCTGCCCAACAAGCTAAGGAATGTGACTTGTCAAGATTTTTTGGATGTAAGTGACAGAAGTTTACCCTGAACAATTTGAAGGAAAAGAGAAAGGATTTCTCCCATCATGTGATAAAATGTTGGAGGGAATAGGAATAACAGGAAATTAGATTGTTAAAAGCCTTCATGGTTATCACTCATTTCTCTTGTTCAGCTCCTGGTGTCAGCTTCATTTTCTCAAGCCTTCGGATACTTTGATGGGAGCCATGGTGGCCAGACACAGAGTCAGTGGCTTTCCATCTCAACACCTTTCAGTGGCTTACGATGCTCTACATGATTGCCCACCCCTCAGCTTTTGACCTCCTGTCTCAACGCTCTCCCTCTCACCCTGCTCCAGTCACACCAGCCTTCTCGCCAGGTGGGGCCCAATCACCTGAGTGATTGCATTCGCTGTTCCCTCTACCTGAAACATTCTTTTATAAAACTCTTCCTTGAAGATTACAGTTGCCTATCCGTTATGTTGAGATGAATCGGAGTTTTTGCTGGAGAGAGCCTCAGTGAGGCCAACTCTGGTCATCCTATTTAAAATGTCATGTCTCCTCCAACTAACACGCTATGCTTTTTGCTTTTCAATACTCATCCGATCAAACACATGTATTTACTTATTCACGTGTTTATTTGGTTACTACTACATTGTAAATTTCATGAGCAAGGGATATTTGTCTATTTTGTTACTATTTATTTTTCCAGCGCCCAGAACAGTACTAGTATACAAAAAGCTCTCAAACTCTATGTTAAAGAAACGAATGAGTGGGTATTTCCCAGGGATGATGAAGTGCCGAGTATTATAACAGAGCTTGGAGCAGCAGGCAGGGAGACCACTCACAACGCTGCGATGTTCAAATATACGAACATGTAAACGTAACGAGGGCAAAGGATCACTCTAACTTATTGCTCCTCCAGGAACCCGTTAGGCCCGCATTTTTTCTTCCTTTTGCTGTGCTCCCCTCAATTGGGACACCTGCCGCCCAGCCAGGTTTCCAGCCCGGCGAATCCCTGTTTCTGGAGGATCTGGGACAGTCTCAGCGTTGAAACTACGGCGGCCCATCAGTTGGCCCGGCAGACCGCCGCAACTGCCTGGAACGCAGTCCCGCCAACCTACTCGCTTCCTCCCCGTTCCTCACGCCCTCACAAGCCCCGCCCCCTCAGCGGAAGTGACGGACTCCGGAGCCCGAACCCCGCACCCCGCCCTCACGCCCTACCAGCCCCAAGGAGTTGACGGTAAGCCGGAAGGGGCGGGTTCAGGGAGATTGAGGGGCGGGGCGAGGCGGGGCGGCGCGCCCGGAAGTGGCGGTTTATCCGAGACGGTTTGTTTGGTGTCAAGAGTAGCTTGAGTTTGGAGAGTCGCAGGCTCTATCTCAACAGGTGTGGGACCCCGAGGCCTCAGAAATAGGTTTTGTCTAACCCGAGAACCCCTCCTTGTTCAGCGTCCCCCCCATAAGCGGATACGGATTATCTGGACTCTGCCTCAAACTCAGGTTCTCACCCCAGTCCTCCCAGCCGCCCTTCTCTCGGGCTGCTGGGGTCCGTCCTCCCGGTCACCTCGCTGTGCCACTGTTGGGTACAGCCCTCGTTCTGTCAATCACACCTGCCTGTCTCTCCCTCTGCGCCCCATCATTCCTTCCAGAAGGCTATCTTTAAGCCCCTCGCCTCCCCTTATTCCCACTTCTTTTTCCATTCCTTCTTCCAGAATCTTCGTTCTTCCACTCGCTGTCAGTCCCCTGCCTTCTCCAAAGCTTCTCTCCATTTCCGGGCATTGTGGCTCATGTGTTAGGAAGTGGAGCTGTAACGCGGTCGTTTGAAGATTTTCTGCTTTTCTTCTAACCAGGAGTCACAGATGCCAGGAAGTATGGCCTCCCTCAAGAAGCCTCGAAATAGCACCAGGTTGCCCTTGGCTTTAAACCCCCTGAAGAGCAAGGACGTGCTGGCAGTGCTGGCGGAGAGGAACCAGGCTGTAGTACCAGTGGGCGCGTGGGTGGAACCTGCCTCCCCACAGAGCTCGGAAATCCCAGCCTGTGTGAGTGCCAGCGTGAGCCAAAGTGGTGGTGTTCCCGCCCCATCTTTCTTATCAGTCTCTCCGGTGTGCCATAAATAGATATATTCTTGCATTAGGATTATAGAACAAACCCGTATGCATTAGCCAAAACTTACATGTAGGTTATATATTTCAGTTTGCTTCACAAACTCTTGATTGCTTGTTATGCACATGCAATTGGCCCTGTATCTTCCAGACATTTGTGCAGTGTCGTCAGGGCGACAGTGGGCCCCATTTCATGTAACATTAATTGATTACTTCAAGTTTTTGGTAAGTTTGGGGTTCATACAGCAAGCAGCCATGGGATAGAAGAGGAAGAGATTACTTCTGACAGGGGTTTTGAGAAAGCTTAACTGTAAGCTCCACAAGGACAGAGACCTTCATGTTCTGTTTGTTGCTGTCCTGGCTTATAGTAGTCTTCAGGGAATACTGGCTGAACGAATGAATTAATGAATGAATGAGGAAATACACTCTGTGCTGGTCCTTAAAGACTGGCTGTGCTGTAGGTTCAAAACAGTAAAGAGGAAGGAGCATTTCGAATGAAGGCAAACTGGCAAAGTTTACCTGTGTGCCTGTTTCCATGATAACGCTCACATGCTCATATGAACTAATTAACACACCAGGACAATTTTGTAACAAGACTTTTATAGTCTTTCACCAAACCGTTTCACTTAGCTATTTGTTCGAATTTTCTTGTGGCTTTTACTGCCTTACATTGATAGCAAGTTATTTACATATCTGCCTGATGGATTGTGAGCTCCTAGGTCACAGGGGAATAATCTTATTTATCATTGCGTTTCCACATTTATCTTAGTGTCTAATAAATAGGGGCATTCGCTAAATATTTATGGAATGCAGAAAATGTGGGAAGGTCTTCTGAATGTATAGATAGGGTGTGAGTATGAAGGGGAAAAGTCTGAGTTATGTTTACTTAGTGGTCCTTGATATCAGAGAAGAAATATGCTTCCAGTAAATGTTAAACAGTAATGCAAACAGTAAATATGTTGTATATTTATTTTATTTATGTTTGTATGTATATATGCACATATTCATTTATTTATTGCTGCACTGCCTATTTTTAGAAAGGATTGTGAGTGTTTCGGTACTATATGATTAAGTGCCAAGACTGTGGTATTTAAAGAAGAAAGATAAGACTTTGTGAATACTGATCAGGGACTCAAATGGGATAAAATGTTCAAATTGCTTAGAGTATGTGTTGGAATTGAGTATTACTTAAATATTGAGTACCGCCATACTCAAACCTCTGTGCTATATAGTGTAGAGGAAACAAAGGAGAATTAAATATATTTCCTGCCCTCAAAGAGATCATAATCTAATGGCAGAATCAAGAAAACTGTGTTCAGTTAACCTTCACCAGAGGTCCCATAGCATGAGAGACCTTAGAGGAAGAAAGGATGGTGGATGGTGCCGGGAGGTGGGTACGAGGTGGGCTTGAAGATAAGTAGGCCTTTCCTGGACAGAGACTGCAGGGAGAGCATGCTGGGTTAAAAATTGGAGCATTATTCTGAGTGTGAGGCATTTTAGAATAAGACATATTTGGCGAGTAGCAAGTGGTCTGGGGTGTCTGGATTGTTTCACCCTCTTTAGAAAATGTATGGCATAAGATTTGAATTGGCTCATTAAAAATTAATGAAGATACTGTTTGTTTTCAGTTCAATGAAAAATTAAGATTTGATTTGAGTACTCACAAATTCCAGTTTTGAGTGTGTGATTTGCTCTTTAAGTTCTCGGTACTCCCTAGCTATGCCTAGACTATCATCTCTGAACTCCTGTGATTTCCTTCCTCAACTGGGAATTTTGGATTCTAGAACTGAGTTGTTTTTTTCAGGATTGTTTACCAACTGCTTTGTGTTTATAACAGAGCCCCAATGGGAAAAACTGTTGACATTTTATTTTGTTTTCTATCTTTCATCTTTGAAGACTTCAGCATATATGATTGAAAAAGAAGTAAAGGAACGGTTAAGAAAAAAAGAAGAAGCTTTGAAGCATTTTCAGAGACAAGTCAAATACCGAGTAAACCAACAAATGAGGCTGAGGAAGAAGCAGCAGCTTCAGAAGTCTTACGAAGCAGTGAGTTCAGAGTGAGCGCTGAGTGGATGGGAAGTGTGCACGTTATGAGATGAGCAGTCACTTGCCTTTGATTCCACGCTTTGTACAATCCGATTTGCTGGGGGGTGCAGTAGATGTGTATGGAGAGAAGCCGTGTTTTATTCCTGTGTTGTTCTCACTCATTTTTGCTTTCACTAGTTAAAAACTATCAGAGTTTTGGATTCAGGTTTGGGTTTGAATTCTGGCTTATGCTAGTTTTTAAAATTAAATTTATTGAGGTAGCACTGGCCCATAGTATAAATTTCAGATGTGCAACATAATTCGTTGTCTGTGCACTCCGTTGCATGCTCAGCGCCCAGTGTCCAGTTTCCTTCATACTGTGGAGTGGACCCCCTCTACCCATTTTGTCTTCCCTCTGGTGACCACTGTTCTGTCGTCTGTGATCTATGAGTTTGTTTTTGTTTGTTTTGTTAGCGTGTTGATTTTTTGGTTGATATTTCACATATGACTGAAATATGCTTTTTGTCCTTTTTGTTTGACTTATTTCACTTAGCATAATACCCTGAAGATCCATCCATGTTGCCACATGGTTATTTATACATATATATCACACATATATGGCTAAATACATATATATATATGGTTAAGTAGTAGTATTTAGTTATATACATGATATTAAAAATATATATATATGTATCACATCTTCTTTATCCATTCATCCGTTGATGGACACTTAGGTTGTTTCCATGTCTTGGATCTTGTGAATAATGCTGTAGTAAACAGAGGTGCATGTGCCTTTATGAATTAGTGTTTTTATATTTTTCAGGCAAATATCCAGAAGAGGAATTGCTGGGTCATATGATAGCTCTATTCTTAATTTCTAAGGAAATCCCTATACTTTTTTCCGCAGTAGCTGTACTAATTTCTGTTCCCACCAACACTATACAAGGGTTCCCTTTGTTCTACATTCTCTCCAGAGCTTGTTTCTTGTCTTTTTGATGACAGCCCTTCCAACAGGCGTGAGGTTGTGTCTCATTGTGGTTTTGATTTGCATCTCTCTAACAACTAGTGTGTCGAGCATCTTTTCGTGTCTGTTGATCTGCTCTGTGTCTTCCTTTGAAAAATGTTCAGATCCCTGTACATTTTTTAATCCAATTTTTTGGGATTTTGTTAGTGAATTGTTTGAATTCTTTATATATTTTAGATATTAACCCCTTATCAGACATGTCATTTGTGAATATCTCCTCCCATTTGGTGGGTTGCCCCCTTATTTTGCTGATGGTTTCTTTTGCTCTGCAGAAGCTGTTTAGTTTGGTGTAGTCCCGGTTGTTTACTTCTGCTTTCATTTCCTTTGGAGTCAAATTCACAAAACCATCTCTGAGGCCCCTCCCTGCCCCCCTAACTTTTAGGCCCACCCAGGCTGTTTCCAGTAGCTTTTCCATAGAAATGGCTGTCTTGGCTCATGCTTCAGATTTTCTTAAATTCTCTCAAGTAAGCAGATCTGGCCTCAGCAAGCCCCTTAGCTCTTGCTAAGTGGTCCCAGGCCTGGCACCAGCAGCAGCTGGCCTTGGTTCACAGCTTGGCCTTGCCTGGGTACCTCCAAGTCCACTACAAGTAGCAGCCATCTGCAGATCACTTTGTAGCTCCGGTACAACTTTTGTTTTCTTTACCTGTGCTACTAGTGCCTGAGGGTGGTGTTCCTGTTGTGGAAATTGACTCCTGAGTGACCAGGGTGGTGAGTGTCCCTGCTGTGTCCAGGTTGCCTTGGTCTTGGGGCACCACCTTGTGGTAGGTAGGGAGGAGCTGAGTTTGCAAGCCCACAGTGCTGCCTCCTTGTTCCTAGTGGCTGCCAGCACCCCTGTGCTCTTAGACAAATCTCTGCTGCAGCTACTGGGTTTCGAGCAATAGGGGGTGGGGGTGAGGGTGGGGGTAGGGAGCCAGATTCTTGGGCACTGAGGCTGCTTCTGCCCCTCTGAACCTCTACCGGGTCATAGTGTGGAAACTGCACTCTGACTCCTCCACCACAACCCTGTTAACTGGGGCCACAGGGGACTGTCCAGCTGCATCTGTAGACACCGTCCTTGTCCTTCCTTCCATCCTGCCTCCTGTGTGTGTTCCAATATGCCCACCTTCAGATGTACCGATGTGCAGATCCTCAGCTGTGTTTGTGTGTTGACCAGAGGAACCTTTATTGGATTATAGATGTCTGACATGCTGAAAATCTAAGGGGAGATGCAATGGGGTCTTCTCACTTCTCCGTGGTGCTGACCTGGCTTATGCTATTTTACTAGCAATGTGATCTTGGGCTAATGACTTCACTCCTCTGGACTGTAGTTTCTTCACCTATAAAGTGGAGATATTCTTGTCTTACGAGACTGTTGTGGGAATTAGACAGGATAAAGTTATAGCATGTGGCAAATGCCTGGTAAATGTTACTTTAAAGCTTTCTGCCACCTCCCCCGATACCAATTTGAAATACTTTGGGCTGCTTATAGGCATTCTTCGATTGCACTGGATTAGAGTAGAGTCTTACCAGAATCATGTCACTCTTTCTTTTTTGGTGTGTAGGCAGAAAAAGAAAGCTGCATAGCCATGCGTTCTTCAGATCCAGCATACTTAACTCCTAAAAGAACGAGTGTTTTTCCAAACAACTTGAATGCTGCTATTGGAAGTGCTAGGTTACCTCCTTCCCAGATGCTTGGGGATGGACTAGAAGACAGAGAGAACCAGAATCAATTATTCCAACAAGCCCAAGCTGTAAGTACATATTGTGCTTTATGTCTGTGATTTTTTTTGCATGTGTGACATATCTAGGATGTGAAGTAGAGAATAGGGGGTTTCATAGTCAACTTCACTTTTTACCACCTCCTGTTATCTTTGTAAAGTGAGGGATTACTGTGATGATGTTTATTTTTATAAATATTTTTAAAAGTGTATATTTATTTTCAATAAGATACTTTGGAATCATCTAATGAAAGGTGCTAAAGTATTAACTTTCAAACCTTATTAGAAAGAACTTTGGATCAAAGGACATACATTTTCCCAATTTTGTTTGAATTGTGTTTGGGTAAGTTTGTAGCATTTGGACAGAAGCAATTCCTAACCACTGTTGCAAAAAGGTTTATTCATTTATGGGGCACTTTGTTTATGTTTTTTTTTTTCCTGTCCTTTGATGAGTAAATAGGTCCAGAAGTCAAGTAACAATATAGGAAACTGTCAGTTAACACACTCAAGAGTTTTTTTAACCTTAGCTTTCATTTAGCGATTCATTTAATGTACTCAATATTTAAAAATTAACCACCACCCTGGCTGGCGTAGCTCAGTGGATTGAGCGCGGGCTGCGATCCAGACATCGCAGGTTCAATTCCCAGTCAGGGCACATGCCTAGGTTGCAGGCCATGGCCCCCAGCAACCGCACATTGATGTTTATCTCTCCCTCTCTCTCTCTCTCCCTCCCTCTCTCTCTCTCTCTCTCTCTCTCTCCTTCCCTCTCTCCCTCTCTCCCCCCCACAAAATAAATAAATAAACAAATAAATAAATAAATAAATATTTTAAAAAATTAACCACCACAAATAGTAGATCCATCCACTTGACTTGTTCGACGCCATCCAATCCGCTCCCCTTTTCCTGTACCTGAGCTTGAGTCCAGTAGATACATTTTTCAGGTTTGCTATGGGAATTATTCTTCATCTTATCACTGAAAAATTATATTCCTAGTGATAGTGAAAGGAGAGTAAAATGTGGGAAACAATGATTATGTGAAAACAAAAGTTGTGTGAGCGCTAATGTGCTGTTCATAAGTATGAAGCAAATCCACCTGTGCTATTAGTGTAAGCAGGGAAAGCTTTATAAACATGTTATGCTGAGTTACTTTTTTTAAAAAATGTTTTTTCTTTGTCCCAAACACAACTTTTTTTTTGTCTGTTGGGTTTGTAGTCATCATTTTTGTTTTCTTTTATAAGATTATGAACAATTTGTTGATCAAATAGTTATTGAGCCAGGCACTGCATAAAATAAACGGGATTGAATATTGACTAAGACAGACGTAGTCCTTGCTTGTATTGCCTTTGTAGCCACAAATTCCACTGTGCTGAGGATTTTACTTCGCTTGTGTAATACATAAACAGATCAGTCCATCAGATACACTGTTTGTTAAACATTGCAGAGATACTAATGAAATGTGAAATAGGACCCTTTGTGGGGTTTATATTTACAAGTAGAGATACAAAATTAATAGGCCTCCTATTTATTAGATATTAAGATAGAGACATTTGCTGTTTTTGGTGATAAAATTGTGAGAGTTCAAAAAAATTAAAATTCCAAAGGACTACTCGGGGAAGAATTCCTGGAAGAGGTGGAATTGAGCTGTGTATTCTGGATTGTTGAGCTGAACTGACCTGGTAAGTTCAAGAGAATTTTGAGATAGGAGGGGCAGTTGAAAGTCTAGAATATGTAATGGCCTTGGGGTATTTGGGAAAAGTGTTAGAACCCTTCTGATGATAGTTTACAGAGGAGAAAACAGCAAATGAGGTTAGATAGGTCGGAGGAAATCAGGTTATGAGAAGCTTAAAGGTTACACAATTTTAAAAAGTATTTATACAGTTTTTTCTTAAAAGAAGATGAACTGCTGAAGAATGTTCAGTGACAGCAACTACTTTAAGCAGAACGGTACTTGCTAATTTTACCGTTTCTGTTGCGATTTTTATCCACTAGATGGCACTAAGAGCTCGTCAATGAGACCTCAAGCTCTGATGTCTTCAGTTTATCTGCTAAACTGATTGAATACTTGGTGAATGCAATTCACTTTCTGAACGTTAGTGTCTTGGAGTGATAGAAACACAAAATCTTGCTTGGAATAGTTCATCCTTTATTTAAGGTTGAAGTGGTTTGACCTCTGGGGTATATTTCAAAATTATACAAAGGTGAGGTGAAGTAGGGGGGTATAACTAAAGCAAGATTAGTCGGGAGTTGATATATGACATCTGGTTGGTGTGTATGTGGGGGTTTGTTGTAGTATTCTGTCTACTTCTGCGTATGCTTGAAGTTTCCAACAGGTTTGACTTTATTTGCATTTTAAATTAAATGTTAGAAAAGACATTTTCTAGTCTGACCTTTCTCTAAGGAATTTTTATTGTATAATATCTCAAATGTGTGTATATATGTGTGTGTGTGTGTGTATATATATATACACACCCACATATATCCATGTAATTTCTGCTAGAAAATGCTGCCACTATTGATCAACTCACTTTTTAGACTTTTATTTAATTTTTAGAAAGTTTGAAATTATTACAGGTCTTTTTTCAATGTAGTTGGTGAAAATCTCCCTCCCTTTAATTTTTACCCTTTAGGCCTAGTTTCGTACTCCCCAGTGGCAGAGGATAAAATACCGGGACGATTTCCCAGAACACGTCAAGGAAATGATTATACCTATCATTTTTCTTCCTTTTGGATTTCCCCATTCCTAATGCCTGCTTGTTTTCGGATGAGATAAGGTGGGGCCGCTGAAGTTAGGATCTCCAGTCACAGAACTGGGAGAAACTTCAAGCGCTCACATGAACTAGCTCAGCCCCTGCGCAGTGTTAGGACTGGTGCTCACCTCTGGGGCTGGCTTTCCAAGGGATCCCTTAGTAACTTCACTTGGGTGAGGAATTGAACAGCTGGTCATTCTTACCATATATTAACTTTCTATTTGCCTGTAGACTATTAAGTTTGCTACTGTTTCTTTTCTAGCATGTCACAGCCTTTTATTTCTGTTTTTTATTTTTATTTTCTTTTTATAATGCAAGTTTTCCAGCTTTTTCAAACTGGGGAATAGCAATTAATTTTGGTAGTTAAGTACAGATTTAAGAGATGTGGGATAACCTGCTAAGATTTCTGTAATCAAACATTGAATTAAAACAATGTTTCAATGAGGCATTTTTGGCAGCAAGAATTCAGGCCAACCCGAGCAGGGGTGCATTTGTTTTAAGCATAAGCATGGGGTAATAAAGGCAGAATCACAAACTCACACAAATCCCGACTTCCTTCAGGAGTCCGTGGCCAGAAGGATTTTCTGGATCTGCAGTAGCTCCAATGGTCCCAACAGCATGGGATCTTTGACCTTCACACTAGAATTTGATCATTAACTTGATTGATTCACTTGTTCTCTGAGGGTGACTAACATTTCCCATTTGCCTGAGCTCAAGGGGTCTCCAAGGACTTGAAACTTTCAGTGCTGAACCTGGCACAGTTCCCAGCCATCTGGGAGAGTTGGTCGCCCTGTATCTCCATGTATGCTTCTCTCTTACTGATTTTCCTACTGTTACCTGGGATTCTCCTCATCACAGCTCTGAAACTTTGGCATTCTTGAGACTTCTTTAGCCTTGTTTTTCTAGCTTAGCACCTTTAAGGTTCAGTTCCTGTCTCTGACTACTTCCTAGTTCATTAAGTAAGATAAGGAATCTTTTTTGGCCCAGCCTGCCTTTTTGTATTAGGTCTAGGTTACTAGCCAGCCTGAAGCTTGGTGTGCCTACTTATTGATGAAAGAAAGCTCACACAATTGATGCATTGCTTTGGGGTTCATGGGCTGTAATTAGGGATTCATGTGAGTTGAAGTTTTAATTGTATACTACTTTTGTGGCCATTGAGAAGTTAAACACATTTAAAAATCAGTCTGCCATCATTTGCCAATAAACTGCATTGCACCTAGATTGTAACTTTGGGTCGATTTGTGTGGCAATAACATACATTTAAAATGGGCATTAGGCCCTCATGGCAATAGTGTAAGTGGAATTCTGTAAATGTGAGAATCATCTATACTCTTTTCCCATGACCTACGTAGTGTTACTACACTATGTTTCATTTATACAGTTACATATAAATTTCTTGTTTCTAATCCCTAATTGTCTAAAAAAATTACATTAAAGAACTGAAGAAAATAAGAACCATGAATGGGGAACAATGCCATAGATATATAATCTATACATTTGTTTAATTATATACTATATATTTGAAGTTTTAAATTTCATTTTACTATGATCATTGTTTGCGTTAGATTTTGAGATTTAAGCCTCAAAATTTACTTGTATAGAACACTTTTATTTTATCAGTCAGCAATCCCTTTGCTTATTGATAGTTATATTTATTAGACTTTCTGTGTAATTATGAACAACTCACTTGCATCGGGGAGTCTTTAATCTTGGTTAAAGATTCAGTGCCAGTCTTTATTAATAAAAGCTACAAAAGTGTGAAAACTGTGTCTAAACTTTCAGTATAGAAAAGACGTGGGTCAAGTTTTATGTTTTGAGGAGTCACATACACACAATGCACAGACACACACATAGTTATGTTTTTTAACTTACATATGTGAATATGTGAATATGTTATGCATGCAAATGCACATAAACATACACTCACAAATATATGTAATGATCATCAGTATCTTGCAATAAGAGAAATGTACTTATATACCTATTCATTTCGCATAATTTGATTTGTAACATCCCTGCAGTTTCTGTTTTTGTTTGATGCTTATTAATAGTGACTTGGGTCCTGGTATTAGTTTCCTGTGGCTGCTGTAACACATTACCTCAAACTTAGTGGCTTCACAAGGCAGAAGTGTATTCTCTCTTAGTGGCTTCAAAAGGCAGAAATGTATTCTCTGGCCTTCAGTTCTGGGGGCCAGAAGTTCACTTCCAGTGTCAGTGAGCCAAAGTCAAGGGGTCAGCAGGGCTGTGTTTCTTCCATAGATTCGAGGGGGAAATTTGTCTCTTGACCCTTCCAGCTCTGGATGTCTGCTGGCATTCCTGTGCTCGCAGCCACTGTAGAGCAGTCCCTGCCTTTGTCTTTCCATCACCTTCCCCCTTCCGTATGTCGGGTCTTCCCTACCTCTTATGAGGGTATTTGTGATGGCATTTAGGGCCCATCTGGATAATCCAGTATTATTTCCTCATCTCAAGATCTTTGACTTAATCACACCTGCAAAGGTCCTTTCTCCTTTTAAAGAAACAGTTAAAGGTTTCGGGGATTAGGAACGGATATCTTCAGGTAGTCATTGTTTAGTTCTTGTAGCAGTTCACTGAAAGGGCCTTTGGGCTGAGGTTTGCTGAAGGCTTTCGGTAATGACAGAGAACAGAATGAATATAATGTATATTCCAACTGCTGGGCCAGTTGAATTCCTGTTTAAGGGACTAAAATCAATCTGTGACTTTAACAGAGGCTTAGAGTTGATGGGAAAGAGAAATTGTGGACTCTGATTTAAACCTGCTACATCATGCAGGGCAGTAGCATGCACTGCACTTGGCAGTGAGTAAAAGTAGGCATATTCATAACTTTGTATGTTTCATAACCTCAACTGCACGTGTATCTCTCCTTGCATTGTAAGTAACTGTTGTGACCTCTTTAGCCACTCTGTGCTACCTAACCAAATGTAGAAATCTTACTCTTGGAATGAAGAGTGCTGTTTCAAGCTGATTTCTCTGGCTTGAGGTATAGACCTTCTAGAAGAAAGGACGAAACAGAGGTGATGTGCTGAAAGGAAACCGGTCTGGGAGTGAGTGTTTTTGTCCCTAGATCACTATTAGTAAAAATCATAAGGCATTTATTATTTATATCTATAAATCATAGTCATGATTTCTCTTCAAAGAGGAATTAATCTCTTTACACTTCCACTGGTTGGGTTACAGCTGGTCCCTGCTTTGCTCTAATTTTACTGAGTAATACAGGGATATGCTTTTCTTTCATGTGGTATATACTGCTCAACCTAAAAAAAAAGTACTTTGCTCATTTCTGTACTTTCCTTAAAGGAACATTCTATACATATTTGTGAAAGCTGTGCTCCTCTGAAAAGGAAATCAAAGTAGGTGCTTACTGAAATTACTGGGTAGAGATTAGGAGTAAACACAAAGTCAACATATTTAGTGTTCATGCTCATTATCAGCTGTTACCTAGAGTACTTAAAACTTATTGATTGGTTCTGTTGAGATGTTTGAGTTTGTATTCTTAGTTAGCTTAGTGGTGAAGGAGGGATTTATGTAAATGGAAGAAAAAATTTTAGGAGGACTAGGAATAGAGAAATCCAGCAAGGAGTGATAAAAGACAGGCGTGGGAGGGCCAGTTGAAGAATAAAGGAATAATTCCTTACTGAGAAGATGGATAGAAGGTAAGGAATGTGTCTGTTCGGTAATTTCTAAGTGTATTAATTCAGACTTTCAGGTTCTGATATTTTTGTGTACATAATATAAAACATGCATTATTATAAAACAATTTGAGTAATAGCACTTATAATCAAGTTATGAAATCAGTCTCTTAGAATAACAAAAATAGTGTTATAACAACACTACCAGCAGGTCCCAGTCTCCTTTGCAAGTAATCCTCTTGTCTTAGGTCTGGCATTTTTTAATAATAGGGGCCTGTTTTCATGTTGGAACACTTTAGTGGATTTGGTATTAAGACTTTATCCAGTTTTTGTTTGCTTTTTTCCCCCTTTTCCTGGCAGCTTAGTCAAACCATGAAACAGGCGCGTCGCCGGCTGGCATCCTTTAAAACTGTGAGTGAAAAAAATGCATCAGTGTTTCCAGATGATACAAGGAAGAGCTTTCCCACCCAAGAGGTAAATTAATTATTTTTAAAGATTGTATTTATTTATTTTTAGAGAGGGAAGGGAGGGAGAAAGAGAGAGAGAGAGTAACATCAATGTGCGGTTGCTAGGGGCCGTGGCCTGCAACCCAGGCATGTGCTCGGACTGGGAATTGAACCTGAGACACTTTGGTTTGCAGCCTGCACTCAATCCACTGAGCTACACCAGCCAGGAGGTAAATTAATTTTTTAATAAATTGTTTTTAAAAGTAGGGATAAAAATACAGATGAAGATTTATTTATATGTCATCTCACCATTATTTAGATCTTTAAAATAATTGGAAATAACCTTCGATATCCAATAGTAGGGAATGGTTAAAAAATGATGATATATTTCTATATAGCCATTCTAAAAAATATGCTTTCAAAGAACATCTTAAGACAAGGTAAAGTGTCTGTGACATAAAGTTCAGTGAAAAAAGTAGGATACAAAATTATATATAGTAAAACCTCAATTAAAAATTCATTCAGCCAGTATTGAAGGGACATCTGCCATTGCCAAGGTGTTGTTCCAAGGGCAGGGTTTGCAGTGGCAGATGAGGGAGCGAGGTCCCTCAAGGAGCTTCTGTGCTAGCGGGGAGGCATGTGACAAATACGCACATAGATGTCTGTTCTGTTCTGCATGGAATGTAATTTCAAGTGAGAAGTGTTATGAAAAACCTAAAGCAAAATAGAGAGAACACCGTGTGTGTAGACCAAGAATCAGTCAACACTGGTTGTTTTTGGGTCGTTTTATTACAGGGGATTTTTATTTTCTTTTCCTGGTTTTCTTCAAAAATTTTTTGTATTATATATATTTTGCTTTCTAATTAGGAAAAAATACCAGTATTTAAAAAAAATGTTTTGATTCAAAAGATAAGGTAAGAGTGAATAATTGGAACCCAAATGTGGACCTGGACTTAAAATGATATTTAAGGCTATACTTGTAAAATAGCATTGCTTTAGTACCTGCTTATTTTGGGGTTCACAAATTTAGATGCCAAACTCTACACTTTCCTGTGTTTACTTAATTTTAGGGTTAATTTCAAGTTTTGGTAGGCAGAATCTCAAAAAATTGACCATTAGTCTTTTTTACTCTTTTTTTTTTGACATCATCGACTCTGTGTCTTATTTAGTTCTTTCTCAGTCTCACTTCCTATTTGGTATTCTTTTACATTTTCCCAGATTATGCATATATGTTTTAGTTTTGGTATTTTTTCCTTAAGTATTTCCTCACAGCAGTCAAAAACATTTGTCACTCATACGTTTGCAGTTGGTAGAATACTAAACTATAACGTCCCCCTCTCCAGTGTGAATTAAGAAATCTATAGTTACATATAAAAATGCAAGTGGATGTGGTGTATGTTCACATACGGCATTCCATCTTAGATGCTTCAGAATGGTTACCTTGTTCTAGCGTTGTCTTATTGTGACTCGCAGTAGAGTTTCTTTTGTATTAAATTCTCCTCAGTGACTTACCGTACTATAGTTTGGGCCATAGATTGACCCCAGGGTCTTGTTAGAATGAGGCCATTATAGACACCTTCTAGAAAAAAGGGTTATCAGGTTTTAGAGACTGATATTTTATATTGTATGGAGCATGTTCAAACCATTCGATTGTTCTTCCGCAAAGAGTACTGGTCACAGGTCTGACTGAAGTAGTTATCTAGTAGAAGGGAGGAGGATTAGGTCTGAGATAACATTCTTGTATAAACCAGTTTTAGATGTCAAAGGTGCCATTTAAGTGTAATACATTATCATTGTGATAGCGATGATGACGAATTCAGTCCGCTGCTCGATTCCAAATAGTGCACGTGTGTTTTTCAGGTGTAACACCAGAAACAAATGTACCTTGTAATTCAGAATGATTAAGAATTTAGTGAAGTTTTTCTATGTATCAAGTATGTAGTCTTTCCCTCAAACCTGCGATTTTCTACTTCCTCAGTCGCCTGAAGTGGGAGTCTTGCAGTCAGAAGGGAGAATGGTCTGTGACCTGTCCAAGCTCTGGTTTCATTGCCTTGTCAGACTTACTTGTACTGACACTACACCCCACCTGGCTGTTCTTGTTGTTCCAGATTTGAAGATATAAATTGAAGATGGACTTGCTTGCCCTCTGTCAGGGTGCCAAGACAAAATCATAAGCCTTCCGAAATTGTTACTGACTAGTATAGGGGCAGATTGTCATTTCTAAATGACAGTCTGTTTTACACCATGTGTGATGTGTGAATGACTTATTTGTGCATTTGTGCATTCAAAGTCGAACTGTTTGTTTTTTGTTGTATATTAGACTACCATAACCTGCTCAGACCAGGCCAGGTCTTTCAGACAAACCCCCCTTATTGTCATGAGCATATTGCCATACCGCTTTCTCTAGACCATTTGTATTTGTATTGATTTTCTTCAGAAAGCACTTCGTAGGAAGCCAGCACCCATCAGGGTAAACACAGGGACAAAAGGAGAGCCACCCTTTCAGGGTTATCCAGGTCTGCAGAGACCACAGATTTCGGCACAGTCAGGTGGGGAGATGGAAAGTGCGGAGGGGAGAAAAGCCGCTCATTAGAACTATCCACAGCTATTGAAGGATGGGTTTAAGGGTTAAGCTTATCACTAGTATTTTTTTAAACAATCTTTATTGAGATGTATAATTCACATAGCTAACAATCTACCCATTTAAAACGTACAATTCAGTGGTTTTTAATATATCCACAGGGTTGTGCAACACTCACTGCAGTCTAAATCGGAGCATTCCCTTCAGCCCTGAAAGAAGCCTGGCACCTGTTAGCTGTCGCTTCTGAGTCCCTCCGTCCCTGTCCCCAGTCCTCGACAACCCCTGGTCTCCCTTCTGTCTCTGCAGATCGGCTTGTTGCAGTATCTCATGTAAATGGGATCTTCGTATGTGGCTGGCCTTCTGTGACTGACTTCTTTTACCTGGCCTGATATTTTCAAAGTTCACTCACTTGTAGCGTGTACCAACACTTCCTCTTACTGCTGAGTAATGTTCCACCGTATGGCCATATCGTGTTGGTGTATCCACTCATCAGTTAGTCGGTGGACGTTTTGATTGTTTCCACCTCTCAGCTTTTATGAGAAATTGTGCTGTGAGCAGTCGTGTACATGTCCTTGTGCGGATATTCATTTCTCTAGTTAGTGGGACTTCTGGGTCATATGATAACTTTGTGTTTATTGTTGTGGCGGATAGGAGACAGCCCCGCTGCTTCCCCTCAGCAGCGTGCCAGGGTTTTGGTTTCCTCACACCCTCTCCCATCCTTGTCATCGTCCCTCTTTGTGAGTACAGCCATCCTAGTGGGCGTGAAGTGGTGTCACTCTGTACTTTCCATTTGTGTTTTCCTAATTACTGACAATCTTGAGCATCTTTTCATGTGCTTATTGCCCATTTACATATTTCCTGTGGAGAAAATGTCAATGTGATACCCATTTTTTAATTGGGTTGTCTTTTTATTATCAAATTATAAGAGTTTTCTATATATTCTGGGTACAAATCAGATACACGATTTGCAAGGAGTTTCTCCCATTCTGTGGGTTGTCATTTCACTTTCTTAGTGCTGTCATTTGCAGCACAGATTTTTACATTTTGATGTAGTCCAGTTTATCTGTTGTTTTCTTTTGTTTGTTGCTTGTTCTTTTGGTGTGGTATCTGATAGACCACTGCTTTATCTGACGTTGTGAAGGTCTCCTCCTGTATGCTCTTCTAATAATTTTATCGTTTAGCTGTTATGTGTAGGTCTGTGATCCATTGTAGTTAATTTTTATCTATGGCATGGGAAAGTGTTCTGTCTTAATTCTCTTGCATGGATATCTACTTGTCGCAAAACAATTTTTTGAAAAAGCTGTTCTTTCTCCATTTAATTGTCTTCACACTCTTGTTGAAAATTAGTTGACTGCAAATGTAAAAGTTTATTGTTGTCTTTACAATATTGTCTTCAGAGATCCATGAAGATGGGGACTTTTCTATTTATTTAGATCTTCTTTAATTCATTTCAACATGGTTCTATAGTTTTCAGGGTACATGCTTGTGCTCCTCTTGTGATGTCCTGTTTGTATAATATTTGACCATACCGACCTACTAAAACTATATTAGTAGTGTGCTGAAGCCTAGGATTTTATTGCAATCACATTGTTTTTTCCTGAAATAGATACATTTGGGATTTTTAAGATTTTTTTATTTAAATAATTTTTGTTTGTTCTTTAGGAACCGGACTCTGAGGAATTGTCACCTATTACAATAGACAAGAAAGGGAGAGAAAATTTGTTTTGGTCGGACCAACAGGATCTGCTTTTAGAAGATAAGGACAGACCTTTCGGCAGAGTTCGGGTAAAGCAGAGTGAAAGGAAATAGTATAATGGGAATTAAACTAATTACACTGTGGACCAGGGACGCCAGCACTGCCGTACTGGTTTGGGATTGTAGATCTAGGCTAAGCTGAGCAAAGACTATAATTTCACATTTTGTTCTAATAATTGTTTGACTGCTATATCCTTTCAAGATTTTTTAGGAGTCTTGTGGAAAAGCTAGAGTGTTGCTACTACCTGGAATTCTATATTTGATGTTTATGTTCACTTTTAGAAAATACAATTCAAAAATCCATTGTTTGCTGTGATGAAAGAGGAAGAGCCAAAGAAGGCACACCTTCAGGGCCCGCAGGATACTCTGCCAGAAACCCAGGGTTACCTTGCAGAAGCCTGTGGGGATTTGTCAGGAGCCCAGAGTACTGAGCTGGGAGCCCAGAATATGGAGCCACACTCCCAGGCCATTGAGCCCGAAGGCCAAGCTGTGGAGCCCACAGCCCAGGCCAGTGAGCCTGAAGCCCAGGTTGTTAAGACAGAAACTCAGGGTACTGTGCTGGAAGCCCAGAGTGTTGACCTTGAAGATGGAAGTATTCAGTCAGAAGTCCAGGATTTTCTATCCACAAATCAGGCTTTTCCACCCAAAGACCAGAATATTCTACCCACATGTCAGGACCAGAACTTTCTACCCAATGACGAAAATATTCTACTCAAATATCAAGACCAACATTTTCTATGCGAGGTCCAGACTATTCAACCCAAATATCAGGACCTGGATTTTATACCAAAATGTCCAAACAAGGATTTTGTGCCCAAAGACCAGCATGTTCCACTCAGATTTCAAGAGCAGCATTTTCTACCCAAAGACCAGTGTGTTTTGTCCAGAGAACAGGATATTCTGCCCAAATGTCAAGACCAGGACTTTCTACCCAGATACCAGGTAAAATAGAGTGGAAAGGAGATATGGCAAGAAGAAATAAGCTACTTAAATTTTGGGTTGGATTTGTAGGGACTATATTGCAACTGATTTGGAGAGTCATAGTTGGAAAAATAATTTCCTGGTTAATTTTAAAAAACTCTAGAGTTCTCATTAAGTCTTAAAGTAATATCAGTAGCATATTACCCCTGTCTGGACAATTTATTTAAAAATAATCTTCATTAGGGAAACTATTTCTGGCAGCTGTCATCTTCTCTGACAGCTGAAGGACGGGTAAAAGAGTGTCCCACCAGTGTCCAACAGCACCTGTTAACCCAGGTTCCAAGACCAGCCCTCCGCCAGAGGTCAGTTCGGCCAAAATGAGAAGGAAGGGGTCAACAGGAAGTAAATTTCTTAGGGATGTGGCTGGGCTTATGTGGACTAGAGTATAGTTTTGTTTTATTCCATAAGATGTCCAGTTAAACTCTGACCTCAGATAACTTCGAATTCTCGCTGTAGCCTAAAGTAGTATTGGTTAAACTATCTTTCTTATCTGTATAGTTGATATTTTGTGTTCTTTTTTTTAAGAAAGCAATTTAAAGCCGCCATCCTCAGTTTTGTAGCAGAGGGAGAGAGGCGTTTCCTTCAGGCGTCCGTCAGGATCTCCTCCTCAGGCCTCGAGCTCAGGCCCCCATCCGTGGCCAGGTGGAGCAGAGGACAGAGAGAGGCCAGCGGGAACCGAGCTGTTCAGGGTTGAGTGTGGAGCTTGCAAAGATTGTTCTCGGCTAGGCTTTAGAACTGACCAGAGGTGTGGTTTTCTGTTTTATTCCATAGAATTTCACATTATCCTGAGTTTAAAAAATTACCGTAAGGTTCTCAGTGAAGCCTGGAATATTACTGCTATCATATTACTCCTACTAAATGGTTTACAGTTTGTATTTTTTCTTTCACAAAGTATGCTTCAAGGAGCCATGTTGTGATGTGATAAAGGAGAAAGGGAAAGATGACTTTTCTCCAGGAGGTTATCAGTCTCTGACTCCTAGAGGCCAGGACCAGGCCTTCGTCAGAGATCGGGTAGAGCAGAATAAGAGAGAGAGAAACAAGACACGGGGGACTGGATTTTAGACATTCTCAGCCTCTGGGGATGTGAAGTGTGGAGTCAGATGCAGGAGCCCCTGGTCTAATGAACTGTCTCAGTCAAATCAGCTCTGTCGTTCACAAGGCTGATAAACCATGTTTACATTCTTATTGTACAGTCAGAGTGTTTTAATTCACAAAGATGACGTTACAACTTTCACTGAAATCCATGCAATTACCTTCTGGTAATTGTCCCCTACATGAATCATGTGGGAAAAAGCAGCAGATCCTCAGTTCCTTAACATTTGAGGTGTATATGGTTTGGGATTAAAAATTAAGGTCTACAGAGTTAAGCTAAAAATGTAACCTCCTTGGTCAGATGAAAAGGTACCAGAATGTCCTCACCCGGTACCGCTTCCCTGGAGTTCTCACCACAGCCTACCACATTGTGATTCTTTCCTGTTTCTGCTGTTCCTCTAGAGCTCCCTCTTCAAGCAGCCGTCGCCTTTCACGAGAGAAGAGACCGTGGGAGATGACTTCCCTCCGGAGTGCCGTCACTACGTCAACCCTCCAGCCTCCTCTGGAGATCAGGTAGAGCAGGACACCGTGGGGGGACTGTCGCTTTCTGAAAGAGTAACGAAGACAAAATTGCTTAAGATTTGGGCTGCAGCTTGTCAAGCTATATACATAGATGATAGGAAACAGAATTAAGGCTTCTAGAGTCAGGCTAAGTTATTTCAAAATGAGCCCATTCTAAAGACTCCAGGTGAGAACGCATACCTCCGTCATTTGGGTTAAATGAGAAACAGGTTACACATAATATCGATTGGTTAACGGCAAGTTTTTCGTGTTTTGTTTTTTTTAAACTCAAGTCATTTAGCATTTTCATTTGACTTTATATACTGTCTTGTAAGGACTGAAGGGATTCCATTCTCATTCAGCTGAAGCAGTGCACCCACCCAGGCACACGGTTCGCAAACAGTTGTGATGAAGGGTAAGACAGGCTGCCTGCTGCCTGAGCACTTCCAGAACATCACCGCCTCTAGTGTTCGTGCACAGAAGTTTTGGGGACACCAAGTAGGACTACTTGTGGAAATGCCACCAGCCTGTGTCCCGGCTGTACCTTGGGAAAGTGCTGGCAGTACTATAAAAATATTCTCTTGTTGCCTTATTTTCTTTCAAATGTGTTGTTGAATGAAGACTTTCCCCATGCAGAAAAAAAAAAGTGGCAGAATAATCTAGGATTTGCTTTAAAATACTCCAGGAAAAAAGTGGGAGAAGAGATCCGTGAAAAAGGAAAATGTCGCTGATTGTTGAAGCTGGGTGGTGGCACCCTGGGATTCATTGTACTGTCTGTGCTCCCGCTTTGCTCTGTGTTCGGAAGTTTTACATTAAACGTACACACACACTCCCCTAACCGTTAACTTACCCTCGTGTCATTATTCTGGGACTGTCCCTGAGGTCTATGTCTTTGTCACTAACGCCTCATTCCTGCTTAGGCAGTTCGTTTTGTGTTTTGCTATTCCTTTAAAACAAGTATATCAAGCAACCTCATTTTTTGAGAGATGAGAGTTCAGGAGAGGAATTGGTTCCAGAGTGCCGTCGGCGTGTTTTGCCCAGTATTCAACACTGAGCCTCTCCCAGAGCATAAGCAGAGCGTGCTTCAGTGAGGAGTCTGTGGCAGGGAGTGAATCGCTTATGCTTTGGCCCAAGATTGACAAGGCAATGTAGTCACTGCTCCAGGGGTTTAGTTTTAAGGTCAGTAATAACAGACAAAGATGCAATATCCTGTCATTCTGTGAGGTGTCACTCCATTCTGACCGGTTGCTGCCCTGCTGGTGCCTCTGCTTGGAAAACGGATGTTCAGGGTTATATTGCCTCCCAGCACGGGGCTCTGAGCAGGCCCCACTGTGAAGAGGGAGGTTAGTTCTGGGGGGCTATGAATACGTCTTACATGACATCCAGGATCCAGGCTCTGTCAGCGAGCAGGCAAAGCAGAGTAGAGTAAAGAATAAGCAGCAAAAAGTAAATTGGAGTTTGATCTGAGCTTGCCAGAGCTATGCTACTGACAACAGTGATGATGATGATGATGATGATGATGATGGCATTGTCTCTCTCTTTTTAAGATTTTATTTATTTATGTTTAGACAGAGAGGAAGGGAGGGAGAAAAAGAGGGAGAGAAACATCAGTGTGTGGTTGCCTTTTATGCTCCCTGCACCAAGGAACCTGGCCTGCAACCCAGGCATGTGCCCTGACTAGGAATCGAACCAGCGACCCTCTGCTTCGTAGTCTGGCACTCAGTCCACTGAGCCACACCAGCCAGGGCTTGTCTCTTATTAATAATATCAATAATATTAATATTGTGATTAACAGCTTACATTCCTAAGCACTTACCCATGGCTAAAATTGTTTTAGAACTTTGTGTCCATTGTCTCAAATAATTCTCACAATAACCCTGGGAGATAGATTCTATTATCATCCTCATTTTATAAGTGAAGAAACTTAACGATCACTTTGTGGATACTGTTAAGATCCATAATACTGGCAAGAAGTATAATGTCTACTTTTATGCCATAATGTGTCAGACTATTCTGGCCTCTTTAGATGACCTCAGGGCCACTGTTGCAGCCTACAGCATTTTTACCACCATGGTGCCACCGCTCATGCAGCGGGGTGGGTGCTTCTGTATCCTTCAGAGCTTCTACCCCAGGCAGCAGCCGACTGGCAGGGCAGCGGAAAGGAGGGGAGATCTGTTTCTGGACGGCCACCAGCATCTTCCACCCAAGCACCTGCGAGAGGCTTCCAGCGGAAGACAGGTAGGGCAGACCGCAGAGGATGAGCACTAGATTAAGACAGGCCGACAGGCACTTACTGAGCTGGGAGTGGTGAGGCTAGCAAAAAGCAGATGCTTGTTTGATTTGATAATGTGTGAAACCTGGCCTGACCTAAGGTTGCTGTAGGGCTCTCAGTGAAACCCAGGGTATGGTCAGGAGCACTGTTGCATATTGGACAACATATTTTATATGTACATTCCTTATAAAAGGTGTATTTCTGGTGGCCATTGTATTTATGGTGTGAGAGGGGAAGAAATGAGTAGTTTTTGAGGGGAGGGGTCAGGAGGATCTTCCACCCGATGACCAGGACCAGACACCCACCAGTGGGCTGGTGGAGCATAAGGCAGGGTCCCCGAGAAAAACACTGTTCATGGTCTGGGCTGGAGCTCCTTAGAGTTACGGTTTATTGCCAAAGTTTTGGTGTGTTGAGTTAAGATCAATAGTTGTTCAAAAAAATACAAAAATACCTTGGCCTGCTGTGCTTTTTCCATGACTTAACTGAAGTCTAGTTTATTCCCATTAGAATTTTACCACTGTTTGGATAATTTCTATATTGTGGTGTTATGTTGCTATTTTAAAAATAGCCTTCAGGCAGCAACCAGCATTGTTACAATATGTGCAAGTGATAAAGAGAAATTTCCTTTTGGCCCTATTAAGAGAGCAGAAAGAAAAGGAGGCAGAAAGGCAGACAGTAGGCTTTGGGCTGAGGTGATCAGAACTAAACTGCTGCTCTTATACTTTTTCGTTTCTTTCTATAAGATCAGCTTAAGGGGATGCTGTCTGTGTTTTTTCCCTGCATACAAGGATAAATGTATGTATCCTGAATGTGCCAGGCAATTTCCTACCTCGGGTCTTTTGCATATTTTTTCTCTACCTGGATATCCTTTTCTTTTTTTCTTCACAAAACTGGTCCTTTCTCATCCTTTAGGTTTCAGCTAAAATGTCCCCTCTTCAATCAAAAGATTGCCCTGAGCAACTAATTGAAAATAGGTTCCCCTCTTATTTTTTATCCTCCTGTGTGTTGCCTTCTCAGTACACAAAACACTTTATAGCTTTGTAATTGTTTCCTTATTGACATGTTTCCTGCTGGTCTGTAAGCTTCCAGAGGGGAGGCACCATGCCTGGTCTGCTTACCAGTGTGTGGGGGCCTTCAGCACAGCCCGGGTCCCTGCTCGTCTCTTCCTAAACATGTTCTGCATCAGTGAGTGTCACTCTCTCACTGAGTGCCTGTGAGGGGCTGGCCATTATCCGGGCACTGACTGTCAAAGACAAGCTCTGGACAAGACACAGCACTCACATTTCTGAAGAGGAGAGACCAGATGTAAGCAGATGGTTACAAGGCAACACAGCTAGCTGGCCCAGGGGGCCCACGCATTCACTGAGCAGGCGAGGGATGCCCAACTCCAACTTTCCAAGGAGGACGTGGCTTTGTCGTCACGACCTCTTCTTGTCCTCCTGCCGTGCTAGCCCTGAAAATCCTCAGCCCTCGGTCAGCCCTTTCTTATTTTAGGTTCCCGAATAACCGAGCCTTACGGGAAAAGACACTTTATTCACGTAGATTTGAACCACATTTGTAGTAGCGTTTACGGTCCCAGCTGGGGCCCCCGTACTGCATAGCACTTTTCTTGCCTGCCCTTTCCATAGCCCACACTGATCATTCCAAACCCTAAACACCTCTGAAGGTTCCTGCTGCTCCTGCGTTCTCTCTGGCTTTCCTGAAGAAGACAGAAGCCGTTGTGCAGTAACTGCCTCAGCCGTTTACTCTTCGCCATTCCTCCTATTCCTAGCGCCTCAGAGGAGGTGTCGTCCTCTTTGGACCCGTGTTCTGGATTCTCCTGCCACCTTTTCTTCTGGGTCTGGTTTTCAATGTTGTATCGTAAGACGCTGGTTTCTGTTAAAATCCTCTGCAGAATGGCGCATCTTTTTTGTTGGCTTGTTGCAGCAGGCGTCGGCCTGGTCAGGTTCAGGCTCTCAGTGGTCCCTCGCCATCTGTGGACAGTGGCTCCAGAGTCAGTTCAGTTTTCAGAGCCTGGGTTGGACTCCTCCGGGTCCAGCCCATGTGTGCACAGCTCGGGCGATGCTGGGGTATGGGCCGGTCCACATGCAGAATTGGACGGCCCGCTTTCCGGCTTGCTCCTCTTCAGGCTGCCCACGCCCTGCACTCTGCGGTACCACAGGCCACATTCGTAGTGACAGTCAGCGAGGTTGAAAGAGACCAGTTGTGGGCTCACTTTTTTGCCAGTGCAGCAAGTCCAGTTCTTACTTTTTTGAAAGCAGAAAATAATTTTTATTGTAACAAAAGTAAACAAAGAAAAAAACCCCACAAAAACTCCAGAGAGAACCATCATTAGCCTTTTGCTATTTCTTATTTTCCAGTTTTTATCTAAGATAAACAAAGAACTTTGAAAATGACAACCTTATTGGGGTGCACAGTCACCGCTTGTTACCGCAGTGGCGGCCTGTACAGTGGCCTCCTGCACCGAAGGGGTGAACCCTGGACCTTTGCTCCCAGGGTAGGGGGTGGGACCAGGGTTAGGTTCCTGTGAGCCTCTGATCATGTTTCTGTCAGCTGATCAGTACGTTACCTTGTTTTGTGTGGATTTCTGTTTAAAGATCCCTGATTTTATATATAGGGTGGGGCAAAAGTAGGTTTGTAGTTGTGAGTACACAAAAGTTTATTCTTGTATTATTATTTATTAACTGTTGTATTATTTTCCATATGAACAACTGTAAATTTACTCTTGCACCACCCTGTAGATTGTTGATTCATTAACATTGAACTCGGGGCCAATAGCACTGCAGCCTAGGCCTGAATAAAGCTTTTCTAATACATGTACATTCTCCACAGGATGCATGACAGCCTTCTTAGGCTTAGGAGTGCAAGATAGTACTGTGGCATTGTGCTTAGGGGCCATTTTAAACAGCAAAACCACCAAGAGAAAGCAAAAAACTTGGCACTCACTGTACCTTGAAAAGGGCTGTAGTGCACATCCAAGGCTGAAGGCTGAAACCAAGCCTTGTCCAGCCTCAACTGATACTGTGTGCATCTGGCAGCGCAAATGTTCACAGCTCTGTGCACATCCTCAAATGACCGCAGAAACTCTGCGACTGTGGATCTTGGGATTACAAAGAAATTTGGTGAATTAATAAATAAGGAATATATGAATAAGGAGAACTGACTCTAATTTATATACCCTACAATTCACCCATTGAAAGTGTGCAAGTCTGTGTTTTTAATATATTCAAAAGTTTGTGCAAACATTGCCTCAGTCAATTTCAGAACATCAACACCCCAAAAAGTCCCATACTCACTAGCAGCCCTTTTCCCCTCACCCCTAGCCCCAGCCCTAGGCATCCGCTGATCTACTTTCTGTCCCTCTAGATTTGCCTTTTCTGGGCATTTCATATAAATGGGATCATGCCACATATGGCCTTTTGTGACTGCTTTATTTCACTGAGAATCATGTTTTCAAAGTTCGTTGATCTTATCGAGTATAGTTGTACTTCATTCCTTTGCATCGGATACTATTTCATTTTATGCATTTAGCGCCTTTTATTTATCCACTTATCAGGTCATAGACATTTGGATTGTTTCCACTTCTTAGCTATTATGAGTAATACTGCCAGAACATCTATGTGCATCTTTCTGGGTGATGCATGTTTTCATTTCTCTGGGGCATGTACATAGGAATGGAATTGTTGGGACATGTGCCTCTTTATGCTAAGCCTTTGGAGGAGCTGCCACACAGGTTTCCACAGTGGCTGTACTGTGTCCCATTCCCGCCAGCAGTGTATGGGGGCTCCAGCTCTGTACGTCCTCACCAGCGCTTGTCGTTACCCCTCTGTGTAATTACAGCTGTCGTACTGGGGGGTGGTGTAGCATCTCATTCTGGTGTTGACTTACGTTTTCCTGATGGTTAATCTTGAGCATCTTTTCATGTGTGTATTGGCCGTTTGTGTCTTCTTTGGAAAACTGTCTTAGGTTCTCTGCCTCATTCGTAATTGGGTTATTTGTCTTTTGACTATTGAGTTATGTGAGTTTTTATTATATTCTGCATACAGGTTCCTTACTAGTTATATGATTTATAAATTTTTTTTTCATCTGTGGGTTGTCTTTTCACTCTCTTGTTGGTTTCCTTTGTAGCACAAAAGTTGGTAATTTTGATGAATACCAGTTTATCTACTTTTTCTTTTGTGGCTTCTGATTTGGGTGTGATATATAAGAAACCATTGCCTAATCCAAGGTCATGAAGATTTACTCTTTTGTGTTCCTGTGATAATTGTATGTCTCTCAGATTTAGACCTGTGATTTGCTTTGAATTAATTTTTGTATGTAGTGTTATATAGGAGTCCTCATTCTTTTTCATGTGGATATCTGGTTTTCCTAACACCGTTCAGATTATTTTTACCCATTGAATTCTCTTGGCACTCTTACCAAAAATCATTTGAGTGTAAAAATATAAGGGTTTATTTTTGAACTGTCATTTCTGTTTTGTTGGTCTAAGACTATTTATTTTTGGAGAGAGGGGGAGAGAGGGAGAAAGAGAGGGAGAGAAACATCGATGTGAGAGAGAAGCATCTATGAGGCCTTCTCATACGCGCCCCAGCCGGGGACCAAACCTGCAACCCAGGCATTTGCCCTGACAAGGGATTGAACTGGCGATCTTTGACTTTGTGGGACGATGCCCAACCCGCTGAGCCACACTGCTCAGGGCTCTATCTTGTTGATCTATATGTCTGTCCTTATACTGGCACCACACTCTCTTGATTACTTTAGTTCTCTAGTTAAGTTTTGAAATTGGGAAGCATGAATCCTCCAACTTTGTCTTCTATTTCAAGATCATCTCAGCTCTTCTGGGTCCCTTGCATTTTCATATGAATTTAAGAATCATCTTGTCCATGAACAGGTTTATGATAAATATCAATCAAGATTAAACACCGAACTCCAGACGCCGCTGGCACTTCAGCTTGGAGTGGATCAAGAAGAAGACAGGAAAGAGGTGTGTAATGACAGCTGCTTTTGGACACCGGTGTTTCCACTGGAATAATGTGCATGAAATCGGAAGTAACTTGTGTCATTATAATAAGTGAAACTTCCCTTCTAAGCTCCTAAGGTTTTGGGTACCTTGATGTGAAATCAGAGATGTAGTCCTAGTGAACTTCTTCAGTTACTGATATTTGCCACAATTACTCATTTAAAGGAATTGGAGTTTTCATTATGGCTTCCTTTTTTTTTTTTCTTTTCAAGCCAAAGTTAGTTTTTAACACTGGCCATGTACTAAATCAGATGTAGAGCTTTTCTCAGACCCATTTTTTCAGATCTGAAAAGACAGGTGTGGGCATCTGTGCTTTAACAGAGCACACTGGTGACTGGGCTGTGTCTGCAGCACTGGGGACTGCTGTCAGACCTTCAGCAGTTTGTGCCGAGAGGGCACAAGCTACCCAGAAGGCAGAAATGTGTCCGTGCCTGCCAATGCCCCTTGAATAGCTTGTGCCCTTAAAAGAGAACATACCACTCCAGAGGTATGAATGTCTCACACACATAGGAGTGGCGCTGGCTTTCATTATACTTGTTCCCTTTAAAATACAAATTCCTCAGTCCTCCTCTCCTCCCCACCACATCAGGCCAGGCTTAGACTATGCTTCCATGGTATGGTTTGGATTCTGAAAAGTTCGAGCGACTATTTTGTTAGCAGATACATCACACATTCTTTCTGTGGCCTTGCTTCCGTGGTACTCACTGCTTGGCAATAGTAAACATGGTATGTATCTTATCATGTCAAATATAGTCATTTCCTCCAGCGCTGCTGACAAGGGACCACACTAGGGGCAACCTAAATTAGTTCTTCTTTCTCTGACTTGTTCGTAACATCTAATAACTGTGTATTTGAAAATATAAAACTCTTACTGTATGTGATACTATCCTGAGCCACCATAAATAGAAGGAAATTAAGGACTTAGTTCCATGTGGCTTCTGTATCATATAGTTTTCTTGTCTAAGGTACAAAGATTATTTCCTTCCTTGGAAAGTCCTCTGAGAGCAGAGTCTTAACAATTTTAACTTCTTTCCTTTAGCGTCAAAAGCAGTACCTGAGATATAGACGACTTTTCATGGATATTGAAAGAGAACAAGTAAAAGAGCAACAAAGGCAAAAAGAACATAGGAGGAAAATTGAAAAGTGAGTTGTCTAACCTTCATTATGATCTTTAAACTATCCGTTAAGATGACTTTGGAAGCTAAGTTTTAGAAATAATCAGTGGTTTTGCCTTCTGATCCATAGTGGGAACAACTATTTTTAATCTGGATAGAAATATTCATAGATGGTTAAAAGCTATGGTTTTTAAATAGAATTAATTTTTTTGAAAGTTATAGGTTCACAGCAAAGTTAAGCAGAAGTACAAAGCATTCCATTTCCTCCCTGCCTGTACCCACGGGCAGCCTCCCCCACTGTTACCGTCTGGTACCCCCGAGGTACCTCTGTCACAATGGACGGACCCTCTGCGGACACGTTGCACCCTACACTTCACATCCAGACTCACTCTTGGTGTGGTAGGTCTGTACAGTGTTGACAAATGTGTAATGACATGTGTCTATCATGGCAGTGTCATGCAGAACAGCTGTGCTTCACTCATTCATCTCTCCCCGCCCCCCGGTCCCCAGCGACCACTGACCTTTTTACTGTCCCCACGGTGTGCTGTCTCCAGAATGTGACAGCGTCGTAACCACGCAGCATATATAACCTTTCACTTGGTGTCTTTCACTTAGCAATATGCTTTTAAGTTCTTCCAACGCTGTTTCATGGCTTGCTACCTTATTTCCTTTTAGCACTGAATAATAACCTGTTGTCTGAATGTACTACAGTTTATTTATCCATTCACCTACTGAAGGACATCCAGTCAAAAGACATAGGGTAGCTGGATGGATAAGAACACAAGACCCATATATATGCTGTCTGCAAGAGACCCACTTCAGACTGAAAGACACACAGACTGAAAATAAAGGATGCACAGTGCAGCAGAGGGAATGCAGTCAGTGATGTAGTAAATATGTCTGGTGTCAGGTGGATGCCGGGAATGTTGTGGGGGAGCACTTTGTAAAGTGTGTGATTGTCTATTATGCTGTACACCCGAAACTAATACAAAATAATATAGAATGCAAACTCTGCATGAAAAATAAAATTTAAAAGAAAAGTTAAAAAGGCTAAAAATCAGTGTTTTTAATTTATATCTTAAGAGGCTGGGGAAAAAGCAGCAGATCAGACCTGAAGAAAGAAGTCATACAGTTCACTCGTGTGTGTAGCCAGATTTGTCGTGCTACAAGCTAGTTGTTCAGCCATAATTATGATCAGATCCGCATCAGAAAAACGTTAGCTGTGTAGTGCTCATATATAAGCTTTTACAAACTCATTTAGCAAAAGACAGAATGGAAATTTAGTTCAGTTCATTTAACTGAAGCCAGGACATCCTTGCTATGGGCATTTGATGTCTAACCTAAATCTTCTTATGGCATGTCTACCACATGGCGTAGTCAGTGGGGAATTCTTCTTCAGATGTACTGCTGACCTTTTTGAAAGCTTTTCTGCTTAAGGCTTTTGTTTTATTGCCATTTTCTTACTGGATAATCTTTTTTCATTTTGGATTTATATGCTCGATCCTAGAAAAAATATAAAGGTCTCTGTCTTACAGATGGCATCAGAAAATTAAATCTTGTTGATTGCTTGCAAATAATTAAAAATTATTTTTGGCTTTTTTCTGGTTGAAGAAACAAAATCATTTATGCCTTCCCTTGCATGGAGGTTATATGACTTAAAGTCAGAAGTACTTTAACAGCATTCTAAAACATACATCTGCTTTCTAAACAGGAATTGATAAAAGCTGCTTTACCTCAGCCAGTTGTATATGAATCAAATAACATGTTTTTATTCTTTCATTTAGCAGCTGTTTATTGAGCACCTATTCACTGGTAGACAGGATGTGAGACTTAGGGGCGCAAAAAGTGAAAGACATGAACGCACTCTTCGGGGTCCTACGAGATATATTTTACCGACCGGTGGGGAGGCAGATACAAGAACAGATAATTACAGTACCTTATAGTGCACATGTGGTTCAGAGCATGGAGAGAGATGTCTTCAAGTCCCTGCTCTGCTGCCTAGCCGCTGTGTGACTTCGGGGAAGAACATCTGCGAGCCTTAGTCTCTTCTCTGTGGGACAGGGACAGGAATGGGGTATCACTCATGACGGTGCTGTGAGCACTAGAGAAGGTATCGTGTGAATGTGCTTAATGCAGAAACTGGCACAGAGTGTGTGCTCAAGAAATGCTAGTTGCCGCCCTGACCCGAGTGGCCCAGTTGGTTGGACATCATTCCACGGAGCAAAAGGCCGCCTGTTTGATTCCTGGTCAGGGCACAAGCCTGGGTTGTGGGCCAGGTCCCCAGTCAGTGCGAGAGGCAACTGATCAATGTTTCGTGCTCTCTCTTTCTCCCTCCCTTCCCCTATTAAATAAGTAAATAATAAGTAAGTAAGTAAATAAATAAATAAATAAGTCTTCAAAAAATGTTAGTTGCCAAATATTTAAGGGAAAAAGTTACACCAAGTTTTACATAAAATATTCCAGAGAATAGAAAACAGGGACTACCTCCCAAATAATTATAGAGGCCAGTATAACCTTAATACCAATCTAGCAAGGACATTTATAAAATAACAATGTTATGGACTAATTTCTCTTATAAAACCCTCAAGTAAAATATTAGTAAAATAAAATAATTTTTTAATATTAGAAGAAAGATACCACTAGACTGTGTGAGACCACAGAGACTGTGTTTTGAACCCATAATTGGGACTATAATCTGGCAGGACAGAGGGGGCTTCCTCAGCTGCGTTTTGAAGGGTTAGAAGCAGTAGTATGAGAGAGAATGGGAGTTGGGTTGGGGGAGGAACACATGGGAGCTCTAGCAAGAGGAACAGTGCTGCAAAAGCATTGACTCTGGAAGAACAGACAGTGCTGACTCTGCTGGGACTGGGGCTGATGCAATAGTAAGCGGTGAGCCTTGAGAAATAAGCAGACAAGATCCTAAGGAGCTGTGTGTGTCGTGAGGAGGAATTCGGCATTTACCCCGAAAACATGAGCCATTTAGAGGCATTGTGGGGAATGACTGAAAGTAGATGTTAGGAGGTTATTGAAGGAGTACACTTACAGAGAAGATGAGAGGTGAAATTAACTTTTTAAAAAGATCATTCTACATCAAGTCCTTACTCTGTGCCAAGCACTGTACCGAATCGTCTCTAGCTGATATGCGGTCCTGCAGGGCAGTGGCTATCACCGCCCGCTGAGTGGTTACAGTGTGCCGGGCACAGGTGAGTGTTCCAGAGGCGTGCGGTCCTTTCCTCACTTCAGTGCCCTCAGGGGGTAGATTTTATTCTTTTCATTTTACAGAAGAAAATAATTTGCCTGAGATTTCACTGAACAATGGCAGAACTGGGACTCAACCCTAGATGTATTTGAACTATCACCTAGCCCCTTTGGAGTCTGGAACGGCCTTTCAGCGAAGCCAGGGCCAGGGAGGCAATGAGGAGGAGGAAGTTTTAAGAGCATCAGAGAGAAAATTAAAAGGATTTTGTGAGAGAATTCAAGGATAAGTCCCAGGTTTAGGCTTAGACTGCCAGGTTATGTGTGTTCCCGTCAGTGGGGAAAGAAACATACCAATGTGTTGATTTCTGACCTACTTTAGTTTCTGCTGTGTGTAAGGAAAAGGTATGTTTATGCAAGTGGCCTCAAAAACATCAGATAAGATTAAAGACGTGTTTGTAGAATGAGTGTTTATATCAACCTTTTTAGGTAGCTTTGTCATTTTTGATTTTATGATCCTTTTTGAAACTACTCTGTGGCAGTAGTTATTAACCCGAGAATCTGGCCAAAGCTGTGGGTTCTTTTCCCAGAAAAATACCGTTGGAACCCTGTGGGGAAGATGTCAGATTGGCAGGTGGTTGGACAGGTTTGAATTCAGGGGAGTGGTCTGTGGCGGAGCTGCAGCTTTGTGAGCTCTAGGTGGTCGTGGGTGGCGACTGAAGCAGATGACAGACGCGAAGGCACTTCGGGAGAAGGTGTAGAGTGAGAAGTGGAGAATGCCTACATGTAGCCTGTGTCTGCTCCTGTACTGTGACTTTGGAAGGCCACAAAGTATTTTAACAGCTCAGATTTTTTGCTTCTTTGAATCAATTTTTGTCTTTTTGTGTACAATATTGCCCCTGTTGAGAATGTATGTGCTAGATCACTGATTTTCAACCAGCGGCTGCAAGAATGTTTAAAACATGCAATACCTGACTATTTAGTAAGGGGTACTGACCTCTCTTTCCTTAGGTTGTCAAATAAGAAATGACAACAATCAATACAACACCAGCCATCTGGTGTGAATAAATCAAAATTATACCTAATTTTTGGTCAGATCAGCAAAAAATATATATTTTTCAGTGTGCTACAGAATTTTGGTAATTAGTTTATGTGTGCCATGAGAAGAAAAAGGTTGCCAGTTACTGTGCCAGATGGATTAAGTGACCCACAGGCCACCAGCGACCTGAGAGAGCTATTTCAGTGCAGTGACCGATGGGTTGTAAAGCCGTATTGGAGCGCGGGAGGCTATCAGGAAACAGAGACAGGAAGTCTGGAGAACTCTCCAGATGTTTGACTGTGAGGAGAGGAACGGCTGGGGGCACAAGGAGAGGGGCTGAGTCTGCCGTTTGTCGTGACTGTCCTGTTATTACGACCTAAGATGTCAACATTTGAAAAACAATGCTGATCTGTTTCTTTAGCTCTTGGTTTACTGGTATAGAGAATTATAACAGTGACAGCTTTTCTGTTGTTATTCAGTTGGTTCCATTTAAATTTCTCCATTGAAAGACTCAATTTGATTAATTATCTGCAGAAAAATCTTTTTTTTCCCACAAGGTAAGAAGTTACTGAACTAAGCAAATATGAATGTCCTCCAAATACTTTTCTTTACTGGCTGTCTTTAGAATACAATCCCTAGGTACGTAGGTCCCTAGCCAAGAGCACCTGTGATCTTTTCACTTAAGTACTCTTTTTGGAGAGCAAGATGACATATATTTTTCAAGTCAGTTGTGAATGAGCATGTGCCCATTTGGGCCCGTCCCCATATCACCTCTCTCACATTCCTGGGTCACT